TTTCTATTTAAGTGAATTTTTATTGAAATATACTAAATGCTAGGAAGGAACTTATGTCTGTTATCACTGTTGTGCTAATATTAAAAATTCTGTCAACAGAATATACGTTCTTAAGCATGTTAAGATGCTTTACTCTATGTTATCAATTACAATCCTATATGAGGGAAAAGAATTATTAACTTATTTTAAAATTCTGTAAATTTTGAATTATATTTTCCTAGATAATTTTACACAGAAGAACTGGAGCCTAAAGCAGAATTATAGTCTATTGTAAAGATGTCAATCTTCATAGCCAAATATATAGTCATAAATAAGTAAGTAAATTTCAACAGATTTCTACTGCAATTGAAAGTTACAGAAATTCAGTTTTTTTTCCCCCAAAGGTGGTATGATCAGATAAATAAGAATACTGGACACTACATTCCATGACTCAGACTCTAGTGCACATTATATCCCTGATAATTTTGTAATCCCAATCAAGTCACTGTTTCATGCTGGGCCTCAATCTCCTCTTCTATTAAAATGAGGGGACTGTTTAACACCTTGTAATTCTAAAATGTGATGATGCTAGTGATTTTAGGTACAGTCATTAAAATGTTGATTATAGTATATTTTATTTCAACATTGTGTATGTTTAAGTTAGATATTTTCACATATTAATCTATAAACATCATGACTAAATAAGACTAATACAGCTATAAATGGTATGCACGAATATGTGTGTTTATGTCTCTGTGTGTAGTTTGTGATATAAACCTTGTTCATGCTTTTCCACATATGAGATATGAAATTACTCAAAGATAGAAAGATAAGAAAAAATGATTTTGCTCTATTTATTGTACTAGATGATTTATTAAAGTATTTAAACTGATTTTGTGTTCTTATAGCTAAGTCATTAATTGGTTTAGGATAAGTTTTGGATAAGGTTCAAATAATCATGAGGACTTCCATATAAATTGGCAAATTCATTGCTGATCAAATCAATGGATGACATTTTCCTTATTTCATAGACATCCAGAGATCCAGATAATGTTGCTTTACTAGATGAGTAAAGACACAGCCTAACTTCCATCAGCTATTAGTCTTTTGCTTATGGTATCAGGCCAAATGTAACAGAAATTTCACCATACGCAGATTCATTGTGCCTTATGAAAACATCCTTGGTTATAGACAGGAGAAACATATTGTAAAAATTATGCTTACAGAATGAGCACTGGAAGTTATGGTTGGCATCACTATGTAGATGCATTTCCACTAAAGAATATATATATACTCTCTCTATATATATATGTGTGTAATATATACATACACACACACCCACACACACAAACATAAATGAATTGACATTTAGTTTTCTTATTGCTTAATACATGACAGCAAGTCAACCATTTGCTTCCAAAATTGAAGCAATTAAAAAGATAAGTTCTCCCATATTTTTTCGCTAAGTATAAAATGAATATATTGAACATAATTTGATCATTAAAGAGAACATTATGAAGACAAACTGTGAAACTGTCACTGAAGTTAATGTAAATTATTTGTATTTCAGGATCAGCTGCAAATGGATTTTAAAATGGGTGTTTATTCAAGCTAAGTTCTTGCCAAAAATAAATTACCTTACTTTCCATTTACTAAATACAATAAAGTTTTTACTTGTAAGTGCATTATCTAAATAACAGCATATCAAGGATAAGCTCAATAGAATTCAAGAATAATAAGCAAAATAGTAACTGTACTTTTCATACTATTACTCTTTGGGGGGATTACATTATTTTAAAAGAAAACTGAAAAATGCTTAGCACATAGTAAAATACCGAAGACTTAAACAGAAAAACAGAATGCATTTGCCTTTACGTTATGAATGAAAAGCACACTTGTACTTCTAGTTCACAAAAGTTTAACAACCACCAAGACCAGGTTTACCAAGGAAGAATGAAACAGAAAAGTGGATACTTAATCTCAGTAATGCTGTCAATGATTCACATTTTGCTCAACTAAACACATTATTTAGTTGAGAGCAAAGGCTTTTGTTGGAAATGCAAAGGTATGAACTATGAAAATTTGGGCTACATCATCAGTGAGTTTTCTAAAGCGTGAATTTCGGAAATAATTCCAGCAGCTCTACCACACACATCTCCTAGAGTCTGCCAAAGAGTAACTATAGAAGCTTGATTTGAATGCCTCTCAAGTCTATGTAAACAAAACAAAAAGTAAGAGGTTAAGGGAGAGTATTATTTTCAAACTTCTATTTCTACAAAGCTGTTTAACCTATTATAATGAAAACAACAGGACTTAGGTACAACACTTTAAAATGTCTAATTTTCATAAAGATAACACTCTTAAGAAACATCGCTTGAATTTTTTCACAAATAAAGAACTGCAATAAGGCAATTCAGGAAAACTATAAATAAAACGAAGGCTTTATGTAAAATGAAATCTCAATTTTTAAATTAGACCCTGCTATATGGAATTGAAAGAATACAATGGTCTAATTTTACCTTAGATAAATCCATTTATCAAAAGAAGGAAATTACTGCGAAACCTTGTATTCTTTTTTTTTTTCTTTGATTAAATCAGGTTTAATCAAAGAAAATATATTTTGGTAGTTCCGTAAAAATTAAAGTGCATATATTTTAAAAATAAAAATAGGAAATTATCTACTTATGGCACAAACAAAAAGCAGAACAAAAAGGATTCTATTTATGTCAGATGTCAAAACGGAATGTAACTTTGTAAATGGATCCCTTGACCCTGACAGCAATATTGAGAAGATGAAGCATATCCATTACTATTACTAATTACATTAAGGGGAATGTGTTTCATTTGCCTTTATTTCATTTTAGGTCAGCTATTTACTTGTGATTAAGTGTATTCTTCTTCTGAATACCTAATGACAGAAAAGTTTTCCAAAGTCACTTTTGGCAAACTGTGTGATTCATTCCAATTGCTTTGAAGGTTTTCTCTTTTGGAATATGGACTGCTTTCCTCAGTTAAAAGGCTAACACCATATATTAGTTTATTTATAAGCATATCACTTTGCCTTTTAAATAGGATGCCAACAGTCTTGATATTAGCTGTTTTAAATATTCAAGAACATAGAGCTAGCCTCATCTGATGAGCCAAATGAAGCTTAAGTGACACCACAGAACATATGAACTGTTTGCATAAAATATCGGTAAAAGTGTCACTTGATATGTCCGCTCAAAAGCATAAGATTACACAATTCAGAATGCAAATGCTATCCAGCCACAGGACAGAAGTACCATTAAGATAAGAACCGAGAGGTAAACATTCTGCAGACAGAGCTCTTCACACTCCTTTGCATTACGTATTAACTATTTTCTAGAGAAATGTCTACAAATCTCAATTTATTTTGGGGTGTTTATAAGTAATCTGTAAAATGTGCTACCATTTTAGCTAGAATCTTCCTTGTTTACAAAACTGATAAAAGCACCAAAACAATATAAAAATCAGCTTCTAACTCCATGTAACACAATAATACAACAGATATAAACACTCCACTATGTTAAATGTTGGTTTAAAATAAATAAATAATTCAAATTCATATACACCAAAGGACATATTTTCAAAAGCCATTTAATGCAAATGTAGTTCGAACTGGTGTTTTCTTGGATTGCATTTGTTATTAGATATAAAAGCTTATTCAGACTGTTTCTCCTTATCTGAATAGCTATAGTAAAGTACTATATATAGAAAATATTTATTTAAAAAACTAATTTCAGTAGTCATGAAAGCAATAAAGGATTAATATCTCTTTCTGTAACATCTTCAATGAGGCTATAAAATAACTTTTTCCTTTGCCTCAGTTCTTCTCAGATTCCACATTCCACATGCAAAGCATATTTAATAGAAATTAGATTGACAGTCATAACTGTGTTTCTTGAGATGGGTTCTGACAGTAAGAAATACGTAATGTTTTATTAGCTGAGGTTGCTGTACCATGAGACACAGCCCTTTCCAAAAGATCTTATTTATGTGTGGCAAACTTCGGTGGGTATACAAAGTAAACTTTCTGAGGATTGTATATCACACAAGGAAAACTTTCAAAAATAAATTTCAGTTTTGCTTAAGTTCCACCTCAGAATATATGTATTTTTTACTGTTTCTACATTTCACTGAGAAACAATTATGTCAAATATTACCACATAATCTTTACATTCTCAATATATCATAATGCATACCAAAATAGTCTTGCAGACAGTACATCAATCATGAATACTTTCATTACGTAGCTTAAATAATAAATGGCTCATGCGATGTATTTTTGTTTGCAAACTTTTAACACCAAAGAGGAAGTATGCAAATGGTGACTGCATATCATTATCGAATACTAATTGTTATAGGTATCGATTATTATAGATATAAAAGATTGAAAGTGGTGTTTGGCATGACATTTGCATATCAGTAAATATTTTTAAACCAGCATTTTCATCAAAGTAGTCAGTATTTCAATATCTCAGACTTAGTACTACGTCTGCATGATTCAGCATCTATTTATCTGTAAAATCCTACATTGTAAATAACAAAGCTAAAACTTTTATGGTATCCAATTTGCATAGACACCAGTAGTAACTTTAGAAACTTTTTCTCTGGATGCAATTATCCACTTAGTAGCCATAAAAGAAAAATAATTTCAGGTGAAAACTAACCATCTAAGTAATACATACATATTTATTCTGGAAACAAAAAATGTAGTATGAATTAGGGATGTCAAGTGCAAAGAGAACTACAAAATACTGCCTACTCTGAATACTTCCTTCAGTAGTTCAGTGAACCTTAATTCTAACTTGCAAAATACAGTGGTATACCTCTTGTAGATGGCCTTTGCTAAATTAATGGTGCAAAAATTAACATTAAATTCCTACTGTTAAGATTTTAATAACTTTAAAAACGAGAAGACAAAACTTTATAGAAGATAATCTGTCTCAGAGTTATTAACCCTCCCAGGGATGTTTAAATATATTTGGGATACATCTTACCTGTTTGCTGTACTTGTTATTGGTTTGACAGCTGTACTCAGAGCAGTGATCTGATCCAATTGAAATGTTGTCTCCTGCTCCCACAAATGTGTTAGCTGGTGGTAGATCTTGTACGGCCTGGTGCTTTTTTCCTGCAGTTGGTGACTGGGGATGAAGCTGAACAGTAGGCAATGGGGAACTAGATTTGTAATGCCTTGCCAGGTCAGGACTGCCAGGCCCACCATTAACAGATCTGTATCGCCCCATGCTTGGGCTATCTGACAGCTTCTCATTGACACTATCATACCTCTGTCCATTTGGTTTAGAAGCCTCTACAGTGACAATGCTGCTGTAGAGAGGCTGCTTAGATTTTTTGTTTTTCTTGTCCTTTTTAGGCTTTTTAGATTTGTCATGCTGTTGGGGTGTAAAAAAGTCTTCGTGATCTTTTTTGCCAGCTTCATAGCCATTTTTAGTTTTGGACCTGCAGTACCTTGCCATCACTACAATTAAGATGATTAGAATCACCGTCATAATGCCAGCAACCACACCAATGACAATACTGAGTCTCTGTTTGCTAATTTCATAGCTTGGGTCGCCAGCTATATCCTGGGTGAGTGGGGTGTGCAAACTTCTAGCTATCTGGGAGTCAATCACAGTTGCATTAGAAACACTTTCATTGACAAACACATGCACCAGAGTCGTGGTGGACTGGGAAGGCTGCCCACTGTCATTCACTTGCACCACCAACCTGTGCAAGCCATAATGCTTTTGGGTGAGTTTTCCCACTAAGGAAACCACACCACTAGTGGGATCAATTTCAAACAGCTTGAAGGGATTCCCTCCCACAATGCTGTAGTTCAGGTCTGCATTGATGCCATCGTCACTGTCTGTTGCCAACACTGTAGCTACTACTGTCCTGACATTACTCGAAGGTGGCAGTAAAGTGTAGGAAATGTTTTTGGGAAGGGTAACTGTGGGAGCATTGTCATTTTCATCCATCACAAAAAGCGAGACTGTAGCTGTGGCAGACCTGGGAGGATCTCCCCCATCCACAGCCTTGACTCTGAAAGTGTATGTGGTCTGATGTTCCCGGTCAAAAGACATTGTGGAGTAAATTGTCCCCGTGTCATTTTCAATAGAAAAAATGTTATTGTTCTCCTCTATGTACAGACTCATCTCTGCATTCCGCCCCTTGTCAGCATCCATCACGGTGACCATCCCCACAGGGCTGTTGGGCTGCAAGTTTTCTTTCACATAAAAGGTGAAGACGTCCTGCATAAACTTAGGGTCATTGTCATTCTTATCAGCCACCTGCACAATCACTGTAGTGCTGCCCTGCAGCACGGGGATGCCTTTGTCTTTGGCGTTCACTTTAAACTCATACCTGTCAGTCTGCTCGCGGTCCAGCACCGTATTGACCAGGATGTCCCCAGAATCGGGATCGATGGCAAAGATCCCCATCACAGAGGAGTCCAGCGAGTAGGCGATCTCAGCGTTCTTTCCGCTGTCTGCGTCTGTCGCCAGCACTGTGGCCACCCTCTCGCCCGGGATGTTGTTCTCAGGGAAGTAAACCTCCACCACCGACTGGCCGAACACAGGCGGGTTGTCGTTCGTGTCTCCCACCTTCACAATCAGGGAGTTGTTGCTCGAGAGGCTGGGGCTGCCTGAGTCCACTGCCACGATGACCACATTGAACTCCCGGGTGGTCTCATAGTCCAGAGGGGTCGAGGTGTGCAAAAAGTACTTTTTCTTGTTCTGGTCGCCCTCGGTGTCGCTGGCTGGCTTGAGCTGGAAGGGCACGTCGCCCACCACAGTGCAGGTGACCACCCCGTTCTCGCCTTGGTCTCGGTCGGACACCTGCACCAGAGCGATGGGGGTGTCGACCAGAACGTCCTCGGCCACGTTGGCCACCCCGTCCTTGAGGGGGATGCGCCCAATCTTGCGGATTTCAATGGATGGCACATTGTCATTCTCATCTTTGATGTTAAGGACCACGGTGGCCTTGTCGGTCTTGGGGGGCTGCCCACGGTCGCGGGCCATGACCGTGAAGCGCAGCTGGTTCACCTCCTCGCGGTCGATCCGGTGCAGGACGCTGAGCCAGCCGGACGTCTCGTCAAGGCGCAGCAGTGGCCTCACCGACTCGGTGGCCGCCCCGAACACGTACTCGATCTGCCCATTGACCCCCACGTCCAAGTCAGCTGCGCGCAGTTGCAGGATGGGGGTCCCCGGGGCGCTGTTCTCAGCTAAGTCGGCCTCGTACACGCTCTTCTCGAAGCGGGGGCTGTTGTCGTTCACGTCGGTGATGAGGACCCGTAGGATGGCCTGCGAGGAGCGAGGCGGGTCGCCGCCGTCGCGCACCCGCAGGGTCAGCTCGTAGGAGTCGCGCTGCTCGCGGTCCAGCGCCCCCTTCACGATCAGCTGCGGCTGCTTCTCGCCATCCGGGGTGTCCGCCACCTGCAGCTCGAACACGCTGCTGCGGCCGCCGGGGTTGGTGCCGCCGCCGCCCTCTGATGCGTCCAGCCGCCGCTTGGAGCCTCCAGAGCCGCCGCCGCTCGCGCCGTTCCCGCCGCCCCCGGGATAGGGGGCGCTGTCGGCCGCCCCGGCGCGCCGGCTCTCGCCGCCGCTGCCGCCGCCTCCGGGCTCCTGAAGCAGCTCGTAGCGCTCGATGCCGTTGCGGCCAAAGTCGCGGTCAGTGGCGGTGGGCAGCAGGTAGAGTGTGCCCACCGGCCGGTTCTCCTCCACCGTGAGCGTGAGCACGGGCGACGGGAAGGTGGGCGTGTTGTCGTTGATGTCGAGCACGATGACCCGACCCTCAAACAGGTCTACCCAGCTCTGCGAGGGCCCGATCACCGACACCTCGAAGTCCAGGAAGCACTCGTTCTCGTCGAAGATCATCTGACACTGGGGCAGCTTCTCGCGGTCGATGCGCCTCTCGCTCGTGCTCAGCTCGCCCGTGAGGTTGTCGATCTTCAGGTACTCGGAGCCGGACTCCAGGCTGAAAGTCACCTCACCCGATCCGGTCACGATGCCCAGGTCTGAAGCCACGTTGCCGATGCGGACGTCGGCGGGGCCCTCCTCCGCCAGCCGGTACCGGAGGAGCTGCTTGGCGGCCGCCAGGCTGAGCGAGAGCGGCAGGAGGAGGCAACAGCCCAAGCACCAGCCGCGCGCCCATCCCGCGGTCCGCATCCTCAGCATCTTCTCCTGCTGTTGCTGCTACTGCTCCTTCTAACCACAGCCCCCTCGGCGCCCCCCTCCTCCGGGGCCGGCCGCTTGCCCTCCTCCCAGTCCTCTCCCCTCTCCCGGAAAGGAAGGAGCGAGAGAGAGGGGAGGGAGGGGGCAAAAGCGGCGTGGAGAGTCGGCCGGGAATGAAGGTGGGAGGGCAGCGATAGATGCTTTTTTTTTTCTCCTGCTTCTTCCGAAAGTTATTGTTTCATAATTCATGCAATGGGTGCTAATCGCCCGCTTGCCGGCCGCCGTTCAGTCGCAGTACTCACAGTTCACGGGACACTGCGCGCCGCGGGTTCGGCGCCCCCCCACCCAGAGTCATCCCCGCAGCGGGCGGAGAATCCCCGGCTCTCGTCCCCGCTCTGTCGGAAGGGGCCAGAACTGCTCCGGCAGACGGGCAGTGGGGCTGGGAAGAGGTGGGGAACGAGCTTGCAGCCTCCCCCGCCTGCCAGCCCGCCGGTCTTTGCTGCTACTCGAGTTGAGTCCAATTCACGTTCCAGACACTCACTCCAAACCCAGGCTCTGCTCCGACTCCGGCCGCCCAGGCAAACGTGAGTCGCTTCCTGCACCAGGCGCTGGGGCCAGCAACACGCCAGTCTCAACTCCGACTCTGCTCAGGCAGCGGGGGAGCCAGTCAACAGATAGAGAATGAAAAATCCCCCGGCACGTCGCTTCGGGCACGGTGCAGTGGAGACTACTCGCGTCACAGCGCGGTCCGCGTCCGGGTCCCCCCGGCGCGCCAAAGAGAAGCCCGAGCCATCTTCAGAGACGCCCAGAGAGTCAGTCCCTTCTCACCCCGGAGAGCGCGGGTTTCTCTTTTTTCTTAACAACTCTGCGCAAGGTCATTAGTCACGAAGCCGCCGCCTGAAACCGCAGCAGCCTTTCGCCCGCGGGGGCGAAGGCTGAGCCGTGCGCACCGTGCGGTGCCCAAGTTTGGGTTCGCAGCCGCAGAGTCCGTGCCTTTTCTCACCTGCATTCGGCCCGCATGTCGGAGCAGTGGGATCTGCAGCGCTGTGCGCGATTCAGGGAGGAGATTGCAGCCTCTCTCTCTCTCTCCCCGCTCTCTCTCGATCCCTCCCCTCCCTCCCTCCCTTTCTCTCTCCTCCCTCCTCTCTCTCCTCCCTCCTCTCCTTTCCCCTTTCCCCCTCTCCCACTCGCTCTCTTGCACGCTCTCTCTCCTTCCTCTTAGTCCCAATGCAGGGAACTCGAGCTGAACTTGATCCCTTTGCAGTTCAAAGGTGAGCAAACCAGGCTCGGAGCACAGGCGACGTTAGCCGGCGAAAGCGCACGGCTGGGCGTCCCCAACGGCAATTAACAAAGATGCCCAATTCTGTCTGGATTTCCGAAGAAAAGCCAAAGGCTTTGGGGCGGGGGTGGAAGGGGAGGTGGAGTCAGAGACAGCTGCCAAGTAGCTTTAAAAAAAAAAAATCCAGTTTGCCAAGGGGAGAAAAAGTGCCAGTCGTTTGTGGCCTCGGAAGTGCCCTGGCACGGCTGGTGAATTCCGCAGTTGTCTCGTCCCTTTCGCGTCTGGGAGAGTCTGGTGCGGGCGCTCCCGCCGCCACTCAGGCTGCAGCGGCTCGGAGACACTGAACCGCTAGTAGGAAGCTCCCGTTCGCTACCCGCGAGCAGGAAACCCGCAAGTTGCCCAAAGTGGTGGTTGCTGCTGGGAGCTCGCTCGCTCACGGATCAGGCTTGTCCCTGACGCTGCTGCTGCAGCGGCGGCGGCAGTAGCTGCCCAGCCGCCGAAACTACACACAGGGAGAGAGCGAGGGAGGAGGGCCCGGGGTAAGGAGGCGGGAGGGAGCGTCAGCCAGCCTCCGCGCTCGGGAAAGCCCAGCCTCAGCTCCAGGGGCCGCTCAAAGTGTGCCCAATCCCAGCCAGACCTCTTTAAGCCAAAGCTCAATGCCCCCCAGCGAGTACCTCCGTCTTCTTCTCTGGGGGACTTGTTTTCCCTCCCTCGGGCTGGTAAATTTCCTCCTCCCTTAACTAATGCCCAGTTCACGCGTGAGAGCTTTTCGAGCTGTGTCAGGATAGATTTCTCCTTCTCCCTCTCTCTCAGACGACGTCCTCCCCCCACCCCCTCCACCCGGAAAGTGTCTCCGGTTCGCGATTTAGCATCTTGGTTAGGACATGGTTATCGGGGTCTTGGGGAACACACAAGAGCCCAGAAAGCCACTCTGTTCTGAAAAACCATGACGGGCTGCAGTAGTGAAGAGAGAACATCAAACTCCAGAGAGCGGGAGAAAGATCCTTTTTTGGGAGCTCAGACTTTGGATGGTTGCGGGGGGGGAGGGGGCGGGGGGCGGTGGGTGGAGGGGGAAGGATGCCTGTCTTTGTTTAAATGCTTGACATTCCTGTCGTCGTGCTTGCTTATGGGGGTAGACCGTGTGTGCGCGCGCCTGGTGAATAAACACATGTTGGAAACCTCGATATTATTTTCTGAGCAGAAACCTGCAGCCTTTAGAAACTGGCAAAGTGTAGCGTCACCTATCTGGATAAAAGGGAAATAAACTTTAATGGTAACTTTGTGTACCAAAGTGTCCCCAGCTTTCCATCTCTCCTTTTGACTTTCTGCCACTTGATTGTCCCTATTTCTCCAAGCAAGGCGTCTACAATTTTCATTCACGACCACCGCAGCGGGCCTCATCAGATCTCAGGTCTGGTTGTTTTCTGAACTGAGCCATTTACTCATTTATTTCAGTGGCTGTAAACGAAGAGGCCCGGCTAGGATTAAGAGGATTGAGAGGGACTGGAAGTATTTGGGGAGAATTGTTACCATCTCAAAAGACAGAAAGGGCTGCTGCTGGGATTTGGTTAGACTTCAGTGCGCCTGACATATCTATATGCATTTAAGGTCCTCCCCTTGAAGAACAATTTCAAGCCGAAACAAACAAAAAAAAATCTGTCCAGTGTGGGTATTCTTTACGAGACCTGGGTGAGGAGGCAGAATGATTTAAACAAGACAAACACCAATAAAGTCAACGAGCAGATGCAGCGCGCAGTTGTTTGGGCGGGCGCAGGCACAGGAATGAGGAGGGAGAGGCGGCAGAGATTTCCAAGCTCTCACTACAGAGGATCGTAGAGGCGCGGAGGATGGAAATGTGCAAGTGTGTGTCAGGGAGCTGGCGAGTATTTTCCAGTCTGTGGAAGCAGCATCACTCCGGGGGTGGTGGCTCCTCCTCCGAGGCCAGGGCAGGGAACCCGGCCTTCCCGCTAACCCTCCCGCGGCTAGCACCCGAGCCTCTCAGCTCTGTATCTGCAGCATCAGCGAGAAAAGCCCCGCGCGCAGGCTCAGTGCGCACCGCCGCAGTCTCGAGCCGGGGGCGGGGCGGGGGAGGGGGCGGGAGTGGGCTCCGCAGCGCCTCCGCGCTGGCTAAGTGGCAGTAAAGCCAAATCCCTCTTGCATTTGGCAAGAACTCGGATTTATCGGAACGCCTGCCTCACTCCAAACCTCCGACCCTGGTTCCCCTTTTTCCCAGGTTCGAAGCAAATGGGAGAAGCCGTCTCCACTCCGCGGCCTTGCGCCGTGCATTCGGGTGCGCGGCAATATGGTGCAGTGCACTCACTCCCCTCACCGCCTTACTAAGATTTTGCAAACTTCAGGCAGCCGCGTAGGCAGAAACGTTGTGCACTCCCGCTTCCCTCTCCAGACCGTAAACTTGAATAAGCCTCTCCGCATCTTCAAAGCATTTGCCAGCGGCTCTGGCGCGCACCCTGCAGGACCACACTTGAGGGGGCCGCGAAGGAGTGGGCGGCTTTTCCTCAGCGCGCTGCACATTTCTTCCCGGATGACTAGGGAGTTGCAGCGCGTCCTTCACAGTGGAGTGGTTTCCTCTTTGCGAGCGGGAGGAAGTCTCCAGCCCGCCCTCCTCACTCTCATTCCTACCAACTTCGCGGCGGAGCCAAGCCAGCGTGGGAAATGGGTCCGACGTGTGCTGCATGGAGAACAGCGAGGACAGACTGCGGGGGCCAAGAAGCCTGCTGGCTTTGCTCCCACCCCCATCAGTCCCAGGCTCCGACCTTTCTGCCAGAGGAGCAAAGAAGTGGCGGCGGCTTTGCCCTGCAGCGCTGTTCTGGGCAAGCAAAGGAAATGGGCGGGGTAGGGGTACGGGGGACGTGAGAGGAGCCCTCGGGGCGCCCTTGCGGCGGCTGGAGCTCCCAGTCCTCTTCCGCCCCCTGTCTATGGACTGACTCTTCTCTCGCCGGCGCAGAGGATGAACGGAAGGGAGAAGTTGTTTCCCCCACCCCCGCCCCATTTCCGCAGTCTTAGAGCCAGTGTCACAAGTGCTCAGCAATTTCATTAAATGGAACCAGGAGACTTAATCCCCCTTGTACCAGACCTCACTGAGGGAATGTGATATCCGGCTTCGCTCCCACCCACCAACCCCGCCCGGCTTCTCAGTCCCCAGGCTGCGTTTATCTTCTCAACCTGAGAGGAAAGGGTTCAGAAGGAAATGGGATCGAAAGTGTAACCGGCTGCAAGAAATTAAAGAGCCGGCTGCTGCTGCTGCTGGTGCTGCTGGTGCTGCTGCTTTGGCGGCCAGAACTGGAGAGAGAAAATGAGATTAGTGTCCTAAAGCTTTCATTGATCAGAGTGATTAGACGTCATCGTATGTAGGAAGCAAAATGTTTGAGGGAATGTTGAAATGGAGATTTGGTTTTTTCTTTAGTGGCTTTTAAAAAAAGAACAATAAAAGGAAATATCCCTTTGAAACCAAGATGTAAAAAATGAAATTGATTAAAATATAAATACCATCCCGTTCTAATATGCATTCAATAACATTCATTTTCTATGCCAAATATCTTACCCTAAACTTAAAATATTCAGTTTTTTGTTTTTTGCTTTTTGGTTTTTTTTTTTACCTACTAACCTCGCTTGCTTAAACCTGTTTTGCCGTTAAGGAATTTCAGTGGATGAACTGAAAAATAGCATTCGGGGTCCCTGATGTAGTTCAAGCCTCAAGAAAAGACAGTAAGAGAAGTAACTACAACAGAAGTCTATGGTTAAGAATACAAGGTAGATGCTG